ATTATGGCATATAGCTCATGAAAACCCAAAATGCCTGTCCCAAAAAAATGAGCATATCATGAAAAGGTTCTCTAAACAAGCTATTAACCTAACCATCTGAATCAACGACATAACTCTAAACACCTGCAAAAGATTCCTGAGGCTTTTAAAAACTCCCAGCCTTGTTCATTACTCAAAAACACAATCATGGGTAAGACTGCCGACCTGACTGCTGTCAAGAAGGTCATCATTGACACCCTCAAGCAAGAGGGTAAGACACAGAAATAAATTGCTGAAGGAATAGGCTGTTCCCAGAGTGCTGTATCAAGGCACCTCAGTGGGAAGTCTGTGGGAAGGGAAAAGTGTGGCAGAAAACGCTGCACAACGAGAAGAGGTGACCGGACCCTGAGGAGGATTGTGGAGAAGGGCCCATTCCAGACCTTGGGGGACCTGCGGAAGCAGTGGACTGAGTCTGGAGTAGAAACATCCAGAGCCACCGTGCACAGGCGTGTGCAGGAAATGGGCTACAGGTGCCACATTCCCCAGGTCAAGCCACTCTTGAACAAGAGACTGCGTCAGAAGCATCTCGCCTGGGACTGCTGCTGAGTGGTCCAAAGTTATGTTCTCTGATTACAGTAAATTTTGCATTTCCTTTGGAAATCAAGGTCCCAGAGTCTGGAGGAAGAGAGGAGACACAGAATTCTCATTGCTTGAGGTCCAGTGTCAAGTTTCCACAGTCACTGGTGTGTCATGTCATCTGCTGGTGTTGGTCCACTGTGTTTTATCAAGGGCAGGGTCAATGCAGCAGCTATCAGGAGATTTTGGAGCACTTCATGCTTCCATCTGCTGAAAAGCTTTATGGAGATGAAGATTTCATTTTTCAGCACGACCTGGCACCTGCTCACAGTGCCAAAACCACTGGTAAATGGTTTACTGACCATGGTATTACTGTACTCAATTGGCCTGCCAACTCTCCTGACCTGAACCCCATAGAGAACCTGTGGGATATTGTGAAGAGAAAGTTGAGAGAACAAGACCCAACACTCTGGATGAGCTTAAGGCCGCTATCGAAGCATCCTGGGCCTCCATAACACCTCAGCAGTGCCACAGGCTGATTGCCTCCATGCCACGCCGCATTGAAGCAGTCATTCATGCAAAAGGATTCCCGACCAAGTATTGAGTGCATAACTGAACATGATTATTTGAAGGTTGGTGTTTTTTGTATTAAAAACACTTGTCTTTCATTGGTGGGATGAAATATGCTAATTTTTTGGGACAGGCATTTTGGGTTTTCATGAGCTGTATGCCATAATCATCAGTATTAAAACAATTAAAGACCTGAAATATTTCAGATGGTGTGCAATGAATCTGAAATATATGAAAGTTTCATTTTTATCATTACATTATGGAAAATAATGACCTTTATCACAATATGATTATTTTTTGACAAGGACCTGTATATACCATAGGTCAGAACTAAATCAAGAGTGTGATGATAAGAATGAGTAGATGTGCGGACGTTTTGGGTAAAACCAAATGACTCTATTAAATTATTAAAGGCTATGCTTAAACTATCACTCTCAACATCCACATGAATATTGAAATCACCCATTATGATGATTTTATCAGTATTTAATAATAAGTCAGTTAATAATTCTGAGAATTCAGACAAAAACAGAGTAAGCGCCTGGTGGACGATATAGAACAACTAGAGAGAGTGGCCAATCCGTTTTCCATTTAGAATGGGACAGACTTAGAAACAGTGAGTGACTCAAAAGTTTTATAACTAATAATTGATTTAGTATTAATTAATAATCCTGACTGAAAAATAGAAGCTGCAACTCCACTTCGACAAGTTATTCTAGAAACATGAACATTTAAATAATTAACAGGAGTGGATTCATTTATACCAACAAAATCCTCCTGTTGTAGCCAAGTTTCTGTCAGACACAATCAATCAATATGATGATCAGTTATCAGTTCATTAACTAACAGGGATTTAGAGGAAACAGATCTGATGTTCAATAATCCACATTTAATGATTTTATTCATGGAAAGATAGGGATAGGGTTAGATGGAGGATGGACAGTTTGGTGAGGATTAACAGATGGGTGAGGACATAGAAAGGTGAGGATGGACAATTGGTTTAGGAAAGACAGAAGGGTGAGGATGGAAAATTTGGTGAGGAAAGACAGATGGATAAACAGAGCAGACAAGTGAGGAAGCATGGTGTGGTCTCACCTTGCAGCCCACTGGAACTGTTGGCAGAGCAATTGGGAGGAGGGGGAGAAGCCTGTGGGCGGACAACAGGAGCAAAGGCGCTCTTCTGTTTGACTGCAGCCGAGAAGGAAAAAACCCCATGAGACGAGTTGCAGTTGGACACAGCCATGGTGGGACTGGAGGGGACGACTGCAGAGAGACAAACCAGTTATTGATCACTATAATATAACAATCAAAAAAAAAAAAAAACTAACTCCTCATTTAGAACCAAAAATTGCTCCCATAGAACTCATAACTGCTCCCATAGAACTTGAAACTGCTCTCACAGAACCCGTAACTATGCCCACAGAACTCGTGATTGCTTCCATTGAACTAGTAATTACTTTATTAGAACCCATAATTGCTCCCAAAGACTTGGTCAAGAAACTGAAAGTAAAATTGTGTTTCTTTTTCGGAAATAAATCATGTCTAACTCTGAATGCTAGGAAACAATTTGAAACTGTGACTTTCCTTCCTTCCATTGATTATGGTGACATTATATAAAGGTCCTTCTCAAAAAATGAGCATATTGTGATAAAGGTCATTGTTTTCCATAATGTAATGATAAAAATGAAACGTTCATATATTTCAGATTCATTGCACACCAACTGAAATATTTCAGGTCTTTAATTGTTTTAATACTGATGATTATGGCATACAGCTCATGAAAACCCAAAAGGCCTGTCCCAAAAAATTAGCATATTTCATCCCACCAATGAAAGACAAGTGTTTTTAATACAAA